TCCCCCCCACCCCCAGTCCCTTTCCTACTGCCTACTGCCGTATGATATCTATTTATCAAATTAATTGATTATTTTTGTTTTTAAACTTTTTTTAATTCACCTATTCCCCCCCATCCTGTTGGAGTGGGAATGCCTTTCTAACATAGTTTTTTTCGATAATCTTTGTTATTTAAAAAAAGCATCATGTGACTTAATTAGCTAAAATTTATAAATGAATAATATTTTCACATTGTTCAGTGGAATTCCCATGGATATGATATTGCAAAGATATTTGGATCCAAGTTCACTTATGTTTCTCCTGTCTGGCTACAGGTTGTTAGAAGGTAGGTGTTGCTTTTACTTTTTAGTTTCTCTACTACAGTCTGATCTATTTTGTGACATATATTATTTTATAATTTTGTTCAAATTTGTAGAAGATCTGGAACTCTTGCCATTGAGGGTGCACATGACATTGATCAAGGTAATTGAAAAAGCAGGCTTTATGTTTTAGAGACAATTTACAATGCAACTACTATAACCAGGGCGACTTAGACAGCAAGAAGCAATCAAATCGTAGAATATAAACAATGCACTCCACCTTTGAGTAATGGAGCAAATCAAGAACCAGCATAAACTATAATCTTTTAACATTATATCATTTTATTCCCACAAGAAAATGAGGATGGCTACCTAGTTGTTACACATAACATCAGAGTCAAATTGCCATTCTCAGTTTAGGTTTATTATTGGCTCAACATTGACTTGGCATTATTTTCGAATTCATTCTACAATTTTGATTGGTTATCGCTGCCTTTGCTTGAAGTAGTCATACTGTAAAGGCTAGCAAAGGAGATTATAGGCCTTCTTGCTAACAGAGAGACTTACATTATATTACACTTAATGTCTGGTCGCAAGGGAAATAGTTAGTTTTGTTTTTCCGAGAGTCTYGGTGTTTCAYGAGAACTCTTGGGAAAACAAAAGTAACTAATTTTCCGAGGGACCAGACATTAAGTGTTTTGTTATATAGCAACTGAGAAATATTGAGAAGTCAGTTTATGAAATAAGAACTTTATTTAGCAAAGCCAAATGCATGAACACTGACCATGATTTTACAAATACAACACACATATACGGTCTTGTATTTCTCTACCAAACAGCGAGCAGAGTAGCAACAGCATTCTTAGTCGCTTTTTTCGTATTTTTCAAATCCTTTATCTCTGCAATAAAAGTCTGTAATTTCTCTGTAGAAACACTGGAAAATCTCTATTGTTTCGCTTCGAGCTCCATTTGTACTGAAAATTCAAGTAAAATATCTGCTTCCACTCTGTTGTTTTTGATTGGTGCAAAATATCATGCCATCAGCGATTTTCACGTTCTGATCATGTGCACTTGTTTATTGTCACGATTATTGTCATGAGAATGTTCGTTATATCGGAAAATTTCATAGCTATATAACAATAGAAAATATGCATTCAAGGCACTGCAGCTTCCTGGTTCCCTGATTTTCTGTCATGTGCAAAACCTAACAAACTAAATTCAAATTGATCTGTGAGTTAACCTAATGTCATGCCTTTGATCAGCCCAGAAGTGTTTTTTTATAGGGTATTGGTAAGTTTTTTTTGATTTGAAGGAGGTGCTTTTAGGATGTCTTGCTTGGTAACCATGACTTAYGAGCAGCGACACATTTTGGCTGATCATAAAGTATATGATAAAACAATACAGTAATTGCACCATCTTTTATGGTTTTAAGGTTGGATGGCAGATGTTCGAAATAAAAATAATAAAATAAAAATTGGTGAGTATCTGGACAAATATGTTAAATATTCACAGGACTTGTGACCAACATTGAAATAAATTTTAATATAGAAAATTGAAAGCTAGTATATAAATATCATAAATTTCTGTTTCTAGTACCTAGGTTGTTGTTTGATAGATGGTCATATAATGACTTCCACATAGTCCTTAACAGTGAGCCTACAATGATGTCTTTAATTGATACAGTTGTTGCATTTTCAAAGGTAAATTTTCATATTCCATACAAAATGAGTATGCATGATGCCTGACTAATACATAGCTCTGGTTATGTAAGTAATGTAGACATGTAATAGGACGTTTGCATGATGGCATCATTGACCTCTACTACTAAACTCCCTTGCACACTTTCTTTTGTTCAGTTAATTAGCACCAATTGTCTAATTACTATTCTCATGAGGGAATAGAAATTTGAATAAGAAAGAAAATTTGCAAAGCATCTTGGTAGTGGGAGTCAAATGACACCATCAAGCAAACGTCCTATTTGCTAACAGTTTTGGCTTCAAGTCACAGTCAGTTATCCCATTTCACAATCATATACAATTCCCTTGGTTTTTATTTATTTCTTTACTAGTAACACTTTCAAACCTGCTGTGTAAATACTTTATATTTAAAGAAAAATACATTATGACACATAAAAAAGCTGAAGTATGACATGTATTACCTAGAAGAAATCTTTTTTTAATCATTGCTAGTAGTACATGCATTTCATCATCATTTATTAAACTTTAGCATTTATTTACCTTTATTCTGTAATTGTTAGGGTCACAACTTCGATGGTGTTGTTCTAGAAGTCTGGAGTCAGTATACTGGAGATACTAAACAGTAAGCTTCTTATTAACATCTGTGCAGAAAGATATGGAAGTACACCTGCATGCAAATGATAGTGATTTTGAGTTGCAAAAAGTGTAATGTTAATTGTTTGTGAAAGCAGGCTTGTCACAATTTTGTTAGTAATCTGGTGATCTTTATTCCCACTTTTTCAACGTTTTTGTGTGGGGCTACTTGTGGTATCTTGATCACTAACATCACCATTTTAATGCTTGGGCTACCTGTGGTGTCTTGATGACCAAGATCCCCGTTTTAACACTTAATAAGTGTTTACTGACCCTTGATTTACTTGATTCACTTTGAGCTTCTTTTTACAAGATCCTTTAAATTATTTTTTAGAGGGCTATATCTTCTTGTAAGTAAATTGGCAGATGCTTTACACGAGGAAAAACTCAAGCTTATTCTGGTGATTCCTCCACCCTTGTCAACGTAAGTAATTCACTTGAATTCTGTAATTATATATGAATGTAAGTTACTGTTGCTAAATTTCGTTCCAACATACTAATGCAGCTTTTATATGACCATGAAAGACTTTGAGCTTTATAGTAGAACTTTGGAGCCATAAATTGAACCCTCTATTGTGCCCCAGTATTTTGATTGGATACAGAAATGACCTCATTTGCATGCTGTCACGTTCAGAACATTGCAATATTTGTATTGAAAGTGGTATCAATTCATAAAGGATACCTTGAAATTTACTTTAACCTTTTTAAATTTCTTTAATTTTAATTCTTTTTTTCTCTTTCTCATTCCGTTTGTATCATGTATCATGTATCATGTATTATGGGTGATGTGAAAAAAGCGAATGCCAAATTGACTGCAGTACCAAATCACAGTAACACCTTATTCTAATAAGGATGAAGCTCACACTTTTTTTGATATCTAGAGGAACGCCACAGGATTCTTTTGACAAGAATGACTTTGAGATCTTGGCTCCAGTTCTAGATGGCTTCAGCCTTATGACATATGACTTCTCATCACCATCCAGGCCTGGACCAAACTCCCCTTTACCTTGGGTTAAGGACTGTGTATTAGCATTGTGTCCTGAACCGAATAAATTGCGCTCCAAAATAATGATGGGATTAAATTTTTATGGATTTGATTTCTCACACACTGGATCAGCAGGTGAGTGGTTTTTTTTTCTTTCATTCATTGCTTCCTTTCCTTTCTTTGTTTCTTTTCCTTTTCCTTTTTCGTTTTCTTTTTTCTTCTTTCTTTTTACTATATATTTTTATGTTATTTATATTTATATGAATTCCTTTTCCGAAGATTAAGAGGATGGTTAGTGATAAACTGGAGCTGAATGAAATGAGGAAGGGGAGGGGGTTGTGCGATTTTGCTTCCGAGCCAAGGAATGCCGCAAACTAATATATAATCCATTACCGCTATTTTAGATTGTATCAATATCAAAAAAAGTTATTCATGTTGGTAATATTGTTCTATATTTCAAGACTGCACGAAGCTACATTCTCATGTTGTCTTTATTTKTTATTTTTCATGTATCTGTGGAGTAGCAGTGATAAATAATAAGTAGGTTACCACCTCATTTCTTTACGACTAACCTCTTTATAATTATGGTGCACGAAGTAACGCTCTCTATAGCGCATCTCTGCTGTCATTACTATACATTTCCAATAAAAGGTGGATTTTAACACTACCCAATGGGAAGTTTAGGATGATTTTCGACTGGGATGGCTGGTTCACACACAGACATAATCCGGCTTAAAATTTTTGATATTTAACGCCAGAAGAAATAATAATTAGGAACACAGTCC